AAAAAACAATCCTGTTCAAATAATCTTTATAGACAGTAGCAACTTTTTACAAGTTTCAAGATGGAACTCTTAATTATTTATGTGGTCAGCGCAATGTTGGTCGTTTAACATCTTCAAAAGGCTCCACTTTTTCCAAATTTGAAACCCCCCAAAAAAATCCTAGTTACGGGCCTGATCAGTGACATATAAATTAGGAGTCTGGAAATGTTGCTGAGGGAGGAGTGAAGGTAAATTGGGGGGAGCTAGCTCACAAAGATAAGGTGATTTTTATCTACTTGAGATAATTGATTTCTTTTGCTTCGAACATTATCAATGGAGGAGGTGCAAGTGTTTAGAGAGGGCGAGTGAAATCTGCCTCCCACCGGCCACCTATATATGCCACTGCCATGATTTAACTTTTTATGTTAGAATTTTACATATGTACCTGTCTCTTATACACATCTAGATGTGTATAAGAGACAGCTCATAAATCATATTAAGAAAAATAATCATTATATTATATTTTTGACAATTATTGGTAAGATTTTTAAGCTATGAAAATGCATTTTCCGGGCACCCAGAGGTTAGTATTCTCAAAGTGTTCGCACCTCAGGTGTGAAAATTGGACTCTCATGCCCCCATGAGTGCATATCATGGGGCAGGGGACATGTTCACCCCTGACATATTTTTTACTGGGGGGGGGTGTTTGTCCCCTCACTTTTCGTCTGAAATGGAATTTTCGAAAGTCAGAAGATGTTGAAATAAACTGCATAAATGACCCAGGTTTTAATGAAAGAGCGCTGTACAGCCAAGATACATCATATTTTATTGCAACATACCGGTATCTCTGCCTACAAACATCTGAATTACCTATAATACATGACTCAAGTGTGCATGCTTTATTATTATTTGAAAAGTATGAGAAAAAGGGTGCAAAGATAAGATTAGTTTTCGGCCCACGTAGGTAAAGTAAAGTAAATACATCAAAGACAATTAAGCTTTATTTTCTATGGTACAATATATCACAGCGATTTATTAGATCGATGATGATGAATTATACTATACAAGAGTGTCATATCCGGCAATCTAGAGGTACTATTTCCCAGAATTTTATCACCTAAGCCCCAACGATGGTGAGGTTGAGATGGGTGTGGACTCATGGTTCTGAAGTAGGTAAAAGTAAATACATCAAAAGACAATGTTTTTAAGTTGTATTTTCTATAATACCGTACATCAAACATATTAATTAGATATATACGGTTGCCAAAAATAGCTGCTAAAAGATCATGAAAATTTGTTGGCGCTTTATTTTGACTATAAAATGGTGATGTGATCAACGGCAGCAAAATGCTTTTTAAAGTGTGGGGGGGGGTCATTTCATAAGGTCCAATATGCGAGTGAAGCGAGCATCTAGGCTGGGGGCCAGGGGGCCACTAAGGCCATCTAGGCTGGGGGTGAGGCGAGGCCCCCTGGAAGCTACGGATATTTTAATATGAAGTTTGGTGAATTTCATAAAATTTGAATATAATTATCTTTATATCGCCTTTTTTTTTTTAAACAATTTAGGTGCGGGGCGGGCCGGCTGGGTTCCCTTGAATTCGCCACTGGGTACTTTAGAAGATGGAGAATCTATACCACCTCAGCTCCACCATGGTTGGGACTGAGGTAAGAAAATTTTTGGTTATGGCACCTCTAGATGGCGCGAAATTACACTCTCAGACTTAAAATTTGAATATAATTTTGCTTATATATCCCCATTTAAAAAAAAAATTGAACAATTTAGCCCCGCCCTTGAATGCATCACAGATTTCCGAACAAAATCGAAGTCGAGATTTCTTCCACGATTTCAATGAATTATTTATCATAAGGGATCCTTGATATGGCCGGTTCCCCGACGACAACTTCACTTTTCCTCCGATGGATAAAAATTACCCTTCTATGTAGAAATGATACTCCAACTGTGGCGAGTCCAGGAAGTCGAAATAGAGGGGACCCAGGGAGGGTTTTGCGCAAATAAAGTGTCCACCCACCTCATCCGCACAACTTTTGGAGCTGAGGTAAGAAAAATTATGATTATGGCACCTCCAGATCGCTGGAAATGGCACTCTCACTCTCCCCCTTGAATCTGCCACAGTTCAATTGTGATTGACATAGCCTATATCATTTTGTATCACAAATTGTGTATAAGAGACAGCTACTTGCTTCACCTTATTCCCCTAAAACGAATGGGGAAATTGAACGGTTTCATCGCTACCTTAAGAAATGTATCAGAAATGCCAAAACTGAAGGTAAAGTATGGCAAAGCAAGTTACCAAAGATACTTATTGCT